GGGTCACAAGTAAGAGGTCAAAGGTTTGTAGCTGCAGGACGTCTCTTCATTGTGTTCTAATGTGAGAACATCACATATAGATATATACATTTGTTTTCTTGCAACACTAGTGTATGATCGCTGGATTTGAGCTATTTCAAGCACATGGCCAGAGGGAGTAGGGATTTCTCCAAACTGGGGTGACACATGTTGACCTTGGTGTTTCCAGAAGTGTGGTCAACATTTAACAACTCAGCAAGACCCGAAGTGTGTGTGATTTTAAAAGTGCTATTCCACTGAGGCCATAGATAGGCCTTGAATGTTTGAAATAACTGCGTTATCACCCACTATAGATTGTTATCGTCACACAACACTCACTCGAACAGAGGGTCTTGTAAATACACAAACTTTATTCCCTCCAGGCCTTCATTGTTTATGAACTGAAGTCTAATTATGTGGTGCTCAACATGGATAAATGAATAAAGACCAGCATCTGCAGATATTTTCTGGCCCATTTGACTTTGCATTAAGGTAATATACTATTACCTTAATGCAAGAGAGTCCAAGAGAGTTTGGGACAAGTAAAGTTAAACGAGTAGTGCCACCATGTGGTTGGAAACGGGAATTGCATATAAAGTATGTAAAAAAAAAAAAAGTATTCAGAGATTCAAGTTTGGAGGCTCACATTTTAATGTGCTTATATCATCTCTGTTACGCATTCATAAATCACAACACAGTAAAAAAGAAATAAAAAATCTTGAGCTTTTTGGAAACAAATGTCCAGATGGGTTTGGTGTAAAATTAATTAAAAATATGTGGATAAACAACTCATCTCCAGTCATGAGTATGATAGAGGATCTGTGAGGCTGTGGGCTCGATTAATTTCGAAATACCATGGAAACCATGTTGTAAGCTTAAGATAATTTTTTCTCTGGTTATAGTTGAACAAACATCCTTCTTAATGAGTTTTACTTACTTCTATATAAGTGTGTGTATATGTATATAATATAGATCTATCAATCTAGATACAGATATAGATATAAAGAGAGAGAGAAAGACGAGAGAGCAGAGCAGTCCTCCTGTCTGCCATCCAGAGGGTTGTTGCTTAGCTACAAGCCCTGCAGGGCCTCTGGTGGCTTTAAGTTGCGGAATATCTCACCTGATTATAGAATAGTTTACTACGTGGCAATTTATGACATGCAAGAAAAACAGGAATAGTGTTCAACATATCAATTACATGTATGTCACGTGGTGTAAATATAACTACTACTGAAGCAAGTTCTACCCACGAGAGAACTGCATAATCCATAACATGCAGTGTTTTTTTTTTCTTTATAAATAATGGTCAGTTTTCATACCACATGTTGCAACAATTTAGGATTAGCTTATTTTTTATTGCTTTACGTTGCTCTTCCTACTGTAGATTTTTCTACTCTGCAGTAAAAAAAAAAAAAAAAAAAGCTGCCAAATTTATGGCATGTGCAGAAACAAACACGAGCATAGATTTCTTGAGAGATACAGGCGGGGGTAAGTGAAGGCTAGATAAATTGTGGCGTTTAACTAAAGGCAGATCTCTCTAGCTTCTCATTTTGTCGTACGTCAGGCAGCGTTTTGTTAATAGTGTGAAAATCTGCACCCACAATGCAAAAATACAAAAACATTCGACCAACTCTGTCGCATTCTGCTTTTGTGAGTTTTGTTCCCACACGCGGTCTTGGACAGAAACGACCTCGCACCAGCGCAGACTCCCACGTAAACCGTCCCTGTAAATGCGAGGTGCTCATGGGTAATAAAAGGTTTCCTCTGCGGTGCAGCTGAACCCCTGTGTTTAACTGGCTCTGGAGACGTGCTGCTTGCTGAGAGACGAACTCGACTTGCTGGGATTTGAAACTTGGCAGGGACGCCCGGCCAGGGCTTCTATCTGGATGAGACAATTGCGGACGTGCGGATGCACTTCTGTGGGCTGTTTTTTCACTCGCAAAGCTCAGGAAGTGATGTTTATCCCTTAGAGGAGCGTCTGATCGGGGGTGTATTTAGTGTCAGCGGTTGCTCTTGTGTTGGATTGAGTTACCTTGCAACCAGATCGCACTCGCATGTCGCCATTTGTGTCGTGCAGAAGTGAAGAGAGCGTGCACGGAGTAGTTGATATATTTTGATCTTTGGGGGTGTTTATTTAGCTCAATATGTAATTTAGTCAGTTTAGTAGGGCCGCTTTTATGTTGGCTAAAATTACAGGATTTTCTTGTGTAATCCAAGAAAATCGGTGAATTCAAAAGTGAATCTGAATTATTGTATTTTTTTTTTTTTATTTTTTTTGCAAATTACGATAATTGTCATAATGTCACCAAATAATAGGTTTTTGCTGTTTATATTGCATTTCTTGGGATCCTGCTAATCTTTAGATATCCTTTAATTTCTTTAATTATCCAGTAATTCAGATTTACCTGTCTCCATTCTTATGATATCATGGAGGTAAGATCCAGAAAGAAATCCTTGGAGTTTATCTTGTACGTGTCTAAGGCATGTGTCCTCTCCTGGGTAAACACAGCTAACTGTCTGTGCTGATATAATCACACGCCCGTCGGCATTTACCTGAACATACTTCCTTTACGGCAACTTGCACGGTCAGAGGTCTTGTTAAAAAGTCTCATTATACTGGTATGATTTATTTTTTAAATTATTCTTATTTTTTACTGCACACAGAGCAGCAGCATGTGATCCTTTACATCTTCTCCCGTGGAGCAGGAATGAAGCAACAACAATATACAGGAGTAGTTTTTCAAAACATTTCGACTTACGAAACCAAAAAACTTGAAAGTTTCCTCTACCTTAAAATCATTGTTAGATTTTTTTTTTTTTCAACTATGTCCTAAACATTTTCTGTTACCCTCACTGGTATTAGAGGATTATCTCCTAATTAATTTGTGTTGGGAGTTACCCAGAAGTCTCTCTGGTTTCAAAAAAAGACCTTTATCAGACAGTTTAGCAGACAAGCCAGGGGTCAGAGAGAGAAGAGGGAAGATGTGAAGTAAATGGACCAGGCCAAGAGTGGACCTGAGGACAGCTGTGTTGAGCCTCCATTGATGGACAACTTCCTATACTTGGTGTACCAATCAGCTCCCCATTCTAGCAACACTCTTCAGCTCGTTCTTCGGGATCCTACGGTGTTCCCAGGCCAGAAGGAACATCAAGTTCCTCCTGAAAGTTCTGAGTCTGTCCCGGGGTCTCCTCCCAGTGGGACGAGCCAGAGCATGCCCGGGATGCTTTGCAACTTCCCTAAGGTGCTAAGGTGACAGAGCTGGTTACTTTTATTTACAAGACTGACTCCCAGCTATCCTACAGAGGAAGCTGATGAGTGAATGAACCAATATACTTCATTAATCCCAGAGGGAAATGTCAGTCCTTGTGCCCTGGATCTCGTTCTGTGGCTCCAGTTCCTCACGTTTACCACAGGCCTGTTGGCTGCTTCTCTGATTAACTCTCACCTCGCCTAACCTCGCCCTTATTTGGGGGGTATCCACTTAAAAGGGGATGAATACAGATTCATGTCAGTCTTCATAAAAGCTTTTGCAAGATAATTTGCACTCCAAAGTGCAAATGCCAAAGTGACAAATGGTGGCATAGTCAGACGTTTGTCGCTTTGACAGCATATTTATTGCGTTTTTCTGTACCCGAGCATTAAAGCCAAGCCAGTATTGACCGGATGTGCACTGCGCAAAGATCCAGCCATTGGTATCGGTTTTCGTATTGATTATTGGCACTGCTTGTACGTTTCATGAAATAAAAATGAAGTAGGGGGTTGAACTAGGATGCTGACCTTCTCAGCTTTCTTGTTCTCTGGGGGGTGTTTGGCTTTGAAGGAAATTGCACTTTTTTTTTGGACCCATGGTGTTGAGGGTACCCTGTCTAATGCCTGCATGTTTGAACCAGATAATTTCCTCATCAACATAATGGCCTGTTAGTTATTAGTCTTTCAACGCCAACCAAACTGATCCCTCCGTCTCCGCTCAATAGAAAATAGTCCTGGTTAAATATTAAAGGACTTGTGGCCTCATGTGTCATCACTCTGAACAAAGGTCTTTAAACACAGCCATATCTGTCACAGTATATTATTATGGAATTTGTTCCTGATGGTTACCATTTGAGAACTTGGCCACACAGCTATGTTTATTTATTTTCTGATTCAAAGTGAAAAACAAAAAATGAAAATTAATGTGAGGAGCCCGAATGAGCAACGAGTTCTGGAGTGTTGGTTTACTCTACAGGACTACACCGAAAGAGGAATCGGATTTCAGCAACGTAACCGATCCATCCCGAGATGGAACATAGTGTCTTAAAGATGCAGATTATTTTACAACAACAAGTAATCCACTAACTGTTTTTATGATTGAGTTTACTTAAGATTGTGAAACTGACAGACTACTGGTTTTTGAACAATCAATCTGCTGTCGCACCTTGTTGGTCACATGTCTGTTCTGCATTCACAGTGGGGTGGGAAAACTCCACCTCCCTAATAAATATCGTAGGAGGTGTTGTACCTGAGGGTCTGTGTGTGATTTTGTGTTTATAACAAGTGGTTTTTTTTCTCCAAAATTTGTTAGTGTTTGGCTGAATTTTACCCTGCTATTCCAGTTGCTCCCTGCATGTTAGTGAGCTCAAGCCAGCTACCAAAACATGCTGTGACCTATAAGACACTTTTATTTTTACATGCCTTTAACATGCAGTGCATACCAGCTGCAGAGAGCTTTTACGGGATTTTGAATTGTCCTGCGGCGAAATGCAGGTTTGTTAGGGAAACAGGAGCCTGGAGAGCATGAATAACACGGAGAGCAAACAGAAAAGGTAGAAGGGGCAAAACAAGGTGCGAAGGAGGGTGTGGGGAGTGGTTGCCATGCTGGCTATCAGATGAGGGAGAAGGGCGGAGATCAGGGATCGCAGAAAAACAGAAAGGCAGGAAATAAGGAAGAAGGGAAGGGCTGACTCGTATTTCAGTTTAGTGTGTTTTAGGGTTGGGTGTACTCCCGGCAGTTCCTCACAGTCATACACTTGCAGTCTGCTCTCTCCAGGAGCAGAAAGTTCTGGGAATCCTCAGCAGACTGAGCTTTCTTTTGTAAAACCGTCTGGATTGTTTTTTTTTTTTTTGGGCGTGCAGCAGGTGCAGCCTTCCTGATACTCTTATCTCAGGCGCTGATCAGCTGATTGGTCGGTCCTGAACTTGGTGGCTACCAACGCCTGGAGCATTTTCTGTTTCTCTTCTTTACTTTACTTTGCTTTTTTTTTTTTTTTTTTTGGTAAAGACTCTTCTCATGCTTGGTTCACCTTTTCGTCCTTTACCAGCATCTTCAATACTGGAGGAGAAAACAAGAAGAATCGGGAGAAGACGAGAGATCTTTATTTGGCAGGAGGATAAGATATGTGACTGTGTTTTTGCTCTCCTGTGAGCATGCAAATACCTTCATCATGCTGGGAATAGATCCAGGGAGACTGACACTTCTTAACCTCTTCGTCTGCCACTGCACTGACGGGTTGTGTGTCACCTAATGAGCTCCAGCGACGTGAGATAACAGCACTGGAAAACACGCGTGGTTTTAAATTACAACTGCCAATTCGCTGTGATTGAACATTATCTTCTTGAAGTTTGGAAATCTCTCTCCCCACCCCTTTTTTTTTTTTTTAAATGGAAAGCCTGCGTAGAGGGGTGGATGTTTTTTCCAGCTAACTGGATTGCCTAATTACTCCCTTGGGTTTTGGAATCATGCCCAAAGACGTAAGGCAAAAAGAAACGGAAGAGATGTGGAAGGATGGTTTGAAGAAGGAATTTCAGTTTGTGAAAGGAGGATGATGTGAACGGGGTCGAAAGTTGGGAGCTGTCGAGTCGAAGTCGTGATGTGGAGTCGGACAACATACTTGGCTTATGGATGAAGTTCCTCCTGAAACTAATTTACTCCTCAATGTGGAATCTGATTGGAATGTGTGTGGATTTGGATTGCTTTCCCTTGATATTTGGAGCTACTCTTAAAACAGACATTCAACCGCTGGATTAGTGTCTAAGGAGGCTAATTATCTTAAACTATTTCATCTGACCTCCTCATAAACTTGCCTCTCCAAGCAAAGATGAGAGGAGACCGGCGTTCCGCTTCATTCCACAAGGAAAAGCCAGCAGGGCTGTCGCGGGCTCTCAGTTGGCTCAACATGTCCCCCCTGTCCCACCAGGGGAGACGCTTCTTCCACAGTCAAAACGATCTCCATCTGGTTCCCAACCGCCGCTCGCGCTCACGCACTCATCTTCACATGCCGCAAAAAGACGAGGCCGAGGACGATGACAACTGGGTGTACAGACCTCAGCACAAAATAGGTGAGAATGAAGAGAGACCATAAAAAAAACAAAAGAAATGCCCATGCAATCGTTCTCTTTCTCCCTAAAACCAGTGATTCAATCATTTTCTTTATACGGGAAAGTAAATATAGAAACACATCTGTCTATTTATTGCCTCTTTCTCTGTGTGTTTACAACCTGCACTTCCTTGTTGCTATGGCGAGTGAGTGGGAGCCCTGTTTGGTTTAGAGGGTGGACATCGAGTTGGCGGTGAAAGAGGGCTCTGTGCGTGTGTGTGCGATTGATAAAGACTTGTCCGACCGGAAGAAGGTGACATCATGTAAATGGTTGTGTCACAGCCTGGTACCACTCAGAGTTTGGTGTCAGGCAGAGGGTCATCTTTGGATGGTTGACTATTGTGAACAAGTGAACTAAATGGATGAGTTTATGCTTCCTATTTGGCTGTCTTGGCTGACGTGAAAATGTCATTTCTAGTTCTCATAGAGATTCTTGGGTGTTATGCCTGAGATTAGTCCAATTATACACCAATTGTATCTTGGTTCATACATCTATCAGCCGTCACTGAGAGTTATACGACGGTGGTTGTAACTGTAGCTTTGTCTTGAACCCTTCATGGAAAATGCACTGATGCTGCTCCATGATAACCTACCTAATGGTTTAGTAAGAGCCAATAGTCCTGCAATACCTCAAATATTTTGGTGCGTCAGACAAGATGCAGATCAACGTGAGAATAGCGCAAGTAGCTCATGTGGCTAAATTCAGTCTCAGTGTATCAGTACTAGATTAAGAACTATTTGACAGTTTTTATTAAAGGAGGACTGCATTTGATCCTCTTTAATTCAAAAACTAAAGATACAGAATCATTCTACACTGTACAAGCTTTTCCTTATGCCACCGCTATCGATACTTTACAACTTTAGTTTTTTTGGGAAAACAAAAGAGAACATTTTCAGTATTTTGTTCAAATGAAGTTCACCTCAGAATTGGACAACCAAGAAAGTTTTCGTACATGGAAACCTAGACTGAGTCATTTGGCACCGACTACAAATACTTCGAAAAATGTGAACAAAAAAACATAAAAACCAATGATTCTTCAATTTCTCTCAAGAATGCTAAAATCTTGTCTAATCGTGTTCTTGTAATTCCAGTATCATGTATCTTCTCTTCTTGTGAATTAGTACTGAATAGTACTGAAGCGCTCTGATTTAACCTGGTCCTCACTTCGACTAACTGTCTCTGTTCGAATTGACCATATTTTTAATCTGTCACTCTGAACAAATGAGAGCATTTTAATCTACAAATAAGTTACCTGACAGGAATGTGAAGCTTGTCGCTGCTGTTGTTGTTTATCGCATGTCTCTATTTTCTGTGTTGTGTCCGAACGTGCCCGTTTCCTAAAACAGCTCAGGAGATGCACATAACTTGAATAATTTGAGGGCTTGAAATACTTCTGTAAGTCAAAGAGCAGCACCCTGGTGGAGCTTAAATTGTTCCTTATGTTAGATGTTTTTATCATGAAACATTAAACTTGACGGCTCATGAGGTTTTATTCCAACCACTTCGAGCAGTTTGTCAGACAAACGATGTGTTGCAAAAACAACACATTGTTTAGTTTAAATTTTTTGAACATTGATTGCTTAGAAATGTTACTGGAATTTCCATTGCTTGCCTATTGCTCTAATGTGCGGCTTTTAATAGGATTTTATTACACCGGAATATTTTTAACTACCTAAAGTGTCTTTAGAGACAAATAAATATTTTCTTGCATATCTTTTGATATGCAGTCTGTCTACACATCATCCATGTTTACGGCACACGTAGTTCCTCAAAAAGCTACAACTCTTTTCTGCTCAATCCTCTGTTTTAATGTTATAACTTTCTTGTACTGGCAAGCTACAAATCTCGAGGGCAGTAAAAACTTATACTTATTCTTTACTAAGACCAGGCATGATGGGTTTTTTTTTTTAACAATGACATGTATCACATTTGCAACCCTTTGTTTCTGCCATTCAAATGGTCTGGTAGCTTAATCCAGCGCTGCCCTCTGTCTTCTGTCTCTTCCTGTCTCTATGTTATGTGCAGTTATGTCTTTTTATAGCTAATGCTAGGCCAGAGTCGGAGTCATAGACAGGTCATTCTAAAATTGTTCTCATCCAGACAACTCATTCTCCATATTCTTCGCTAAGGAAACTTTAGAGTAATTCTCCACTTTTGCATGTGTAACAACTGGAGATCACATTCATACACGCACCAGAACCAATTACTAGACACGTGGGCCGCCATGCGCACTGCCTCAGAGTAAATATAGCTTTAAAATTACTGCCTTCAGATTCAAAGCCTGCAATTTTTGGCGCAGCCTGTTGCCTGTCTTTTTTTGGGTGTTTGCCTCTGTTGTCACGGTAATAGGTATGCAGCTGATTGTTTCCTGGTCAGGCTCGATTTGACCTTCCTGAGCCGCCTTGGTGCACAAGCTGCTGTAGGTTCTCCTGGTGAAGTTGTACATTTTCTCGGGCAAGTTGATGTGAAAGCTGGAGTTATTTTCAGAGTTAAAAACAAATCTGATCATTGCAACAGAACTTGCGCTTGAACATTTTCTTGATTTCTGCTTGCCATAAGGCCAAACTTCAAAAAAAATCTTGTTCGGAAAGGTCAAGGCTAACTAACTTAAAGCTAAACTTTCCTTATCTAGACGCCTGTCTGGGCTCCTGTCTATATTACTGCCTCTCATAAAGCTGTCTGTTATCTACAGTACATGAGGTCATCAAATAAAATGTAACAGATGTCAAATTCTGAGTCAAGACTTTGACTTTTGCCAAATGCAAAACATGTTAACATGAAAGTTGGGTGCTGTGAGGCTTAGTAGTATTTGCTTGAGGTTTTCTGTGGATCTACAGTATGTCGGTTCGGCTGGTAATATTTTCGAGAACACGGATTAACCTACATCGCCACTATACCTTGGCACTGAATTGCTGTTGCAATCAGAACCAGAATTCGGTCTCATATAAATGTTATTAAGGAGGTATTTATACATTTTTGGCCGTGTCTGCTTGGGACAGTACTGATGGTTTGTGAGATGCTTATTGAAACTCTTGCATAACAGTCTTAGAGCATTTGGGACACATTTCCATACACTGAAATAAGCTCATCATCACCATGTAGAACATTTGTAAATCCAGATTAGCAGATATGAACAAACCTGCAAGGCCTCATTAAAACTCAGACACGGAAATCTTAGATTGTGGCCCTTTTCCCGGTACATGGATGCATCATGAGGCTGTACATAGATGATTAAAATGGCAAACACGGATGCTTCCTTTGAAAATAAATGGGTAAATCATTGGTTTAAACTGTGTCTAATTGCCGTTTTTTGTCTCTTTTTTTTATGTGCTGATCAAAATGCCATCTCCTGTAGGTAAGTTGCATCTTTCTTTCTGGTTTTCGTTCCAGAACGTCTCACCGTTCTGGTATCTTTTTCCCTAATGGTACAAATGGATGACGAACAATGGAAAGGGGGAAAAAAAAAAAAGCCAAGTGATTAAATTTGTTGAACAGGATTTCAGTTTTAAAGGGGATAGAGGAATGGCAGCTTATTTTAATAGGATCCAATCCATTGATGTTGTCACAAAACACAATCCAACAGCTTAAAAACTGTCAACAATTGAACTAAAGCTCTGTCAGGGTCATTTTTGGGACAGATCATATTTTTTCTCCCACTCTTTTTTTTTTTTTTTTTTAAACCAAAAAACATGTTTAACCAAGAGGCCTTTATGCTTAAATATGTCTCATACCTCAACTTCCCCCCTGTTTGCATATCCGAACCTTCATGCCTGCTTCAAGGAGCTTGTTGTTTTTTATCTGCCCATTCTTATCACGCAGTGACGGTGCACAAAGCTCACGCTATCGCACCATAATGTGCTTGTGCAGCACTGCATGTAAGAGTGGATGTGAAGCACTCTGATAAGCATTAGTATGGGCCATTATGATCCCAGACTTATGATGGTGTTTTATCTGGAGACAAAGAGAGAATCCTGGAGGCTGATAACTGCGGTCTGATCAAAGTTTCAGTCACCACAGGTAGGAGGGCCTGTCCAATCAGGAAACGTGTAAACGTGCCAGTTGTTGCTGAATGTCCTGTAAGAATCAGATAGCAGACTTTACCACACGAAGGAGAGGAATTAGTTGTTGTTGTTGTTGAACAACAAATCTCATATTAGGAATGGTAAACACAAAACCAGTACAATTTTATTTTATAAGTAAACTGTAGCAACTTGCTTTTCACAAGTTGTCCTATGTTTTTTGTTATGCTATGTGGAAAATACAATCTAAAAGTTACATAAAAAGGTAAATAAAAAGTGTGTGTGTGTGTATACCTATAAATATATGACTGCCTTTTGTCAATGGAAATTTAAAGGGAAAACGTGCAGTTTTTAATGTGTAGGCTACATATAGTACAGCAACATTAACTGGTGAATTTAGTACGTTTTATTTTGGAGCAAAGGAATACAAAGAATAATCTGAACAAAAATGTCTTCGGTATGTACTTGAATATAAAAAAGAGAAACTACTTTTTAAGGTATTTTTCTTTGTTTTACTGTTAAAATTTAAATATAAATGTTCCTAATTTAAGTGTGCATTTCTTTTCAGTTGTATTATTGAGTGAACTGTGTTTTAGAGTTGAGATATTGGTCTCTTTATCAAAAAGAAATAAAGTGAATGTTCTTTGAAATGTTTTGAAATAGGTTGATTATGTCGGTTCATAATATTTGAAGGGAATTTCCCTCTTACCTTTACAGCCTCGGCTCCATGAGAATGGAGATTTAATTCAACTGAAGCAGTTGCCTTTGAGGCATAGTTTTTTTTTATTTTTATTGACATGCTTAAAACCGAAGCCATTGTGGCTGAGCACTTTCCAGTTAAAGTGGCAGCTTGATGTTTTTTTTTTTTTTTTTACGGGCTGGTCAGGTGGGTTTATTTAGGGATTTTACATGTGTTTTTAGTTTGGACTCTGTTTTTACGGT